TGGGGGAAACACAGCTCTGCTGACACCTTGATTTGGGGCAGCTGGCCTCCCGCACTGTGAAAGAACACCCTGCTCTTGCTTCAAGCTGTCCAGTCTGTAGTAATTTGTTTCAGCAGCCGTAGGAAACTAATGCAGTTGTGAATTTTATTTATTTATTTGTTTTTGTTTTTGTGGGTTTTTTTGCGGTACACGGGCCTCTCACCGTTGTGGCCTCTCCCGTTGTGGAGCACAGGCTCCGGATGCGCAGGCCCAGTGGCCATAACTCACGGGCCCAGCCGCTCTGCGGCATGTGGGATCTTCCCGGACCGGGACACGAGCCTGCGTCCCCTGCATTGGCAGGCGGAATCTCAACCACTGCGCCACCAGGGAAGCCCTGAATTTTATTTTAATCACACGTAAAGATCTGTTTGTGGACTCTGAAGACCTACACGATCCTTGTAGGCTGACCTTCCCTGCCGTGCTGCGCCGGCACCTGGCTGCTCCTGGAAACTCACCAAGTGCGATGCAGCCTTACCTGAGGGCCTTTGCCCTGGCTGTTTCCTCGGCTTGGATACTGTTCTCTGAGAAGTTTCCACACCTGTCTCTCTTACTCCATCCAGGCCACTGTCGAGCCGTCACCACCTCAGAAACCACCAGTCCATAGCTGCTGTCACTTCTTGAATTTCATCACATCTTTTATCTGTGGCTGAATTCCTCACGTTTCCCCAGGTTACCCCCACGAGGGCAGGGATCTTCGTCTTGTTCCTGCTTATTCTTTGTGCCCAATGCCTATCGCTGGCACTCCATAAATGTTTGCTGAATGCCTGATGTCTCCAGGCCTGAGGTCAGGGACTCTTAAAGGTAGACACAGCTTTCAGAAGATCAGTAAACTGGACTGGAATGGTGTCCATTCAACCAAACCACCGTTTTATTTATTTTGAATTGAGGCGAAATTCACATCACGTAAAATTAACCATTTGAAAGTGTACAGTTCATTGGGTTTTTTTAGTATGTAAACAATGTTGGGACTTCCCTGGTGGCGCAGTGGTTAAGAATCCACCTGCCAACGCAGGGGACACGGGTTCGATCCCTGGTCTGGGAAGATTGCATGTGCGCCACAACTACTGAGCCCGCATGCTGCAACTACTGAAGCCTGCGCGCCTAGAGCCCGTGCTCCGCAACAAGAGAAGCCACCGCAATGTGAAGCCCGAGCACTGCAATAAAGAGTAGTCCCCGCTCGCTGCAACTAGGGAAAGCCCGTGCACAGCAACGAAGACCCAACACAGCCATAAATAAATAAATGAATGAATGAATGAATGAATGAATGAATGGAAAGCCCGTGCACAGCAAAGAAGACCCAACACAGCCATAAATAAATAAATAAATAATCAAACAAACAGACATTGTACAGGGACTTCCCTGGTGGTCCAGTGGTTAAGACTCTGCGCTTCCACTGCAGGGGGCACGGGTTCAATCCCTGGTCAAGGGACTAAGATCCTGCATGCCACGCGCATGGTGCAACCAAAAAAACCCAAAAAAAACAAAAACAAAAAAACCAATGCTGTAAACCAACTTCTCTGTCTACTTCTAAAATATCTCCATCACCCCAAAAGGGGACTCTGAACCCAACGGCACTCACTGCCCATCCTGCCTCCTCGCAGCCCCTGGCAGCCACCAGCTGGCTTTGTCTCTCTGGATTTGCCTGTTCTGGACATTTCATATAAATGGGATCATACAAAATGTGACCTTTTGTGTCTGGCCTCTTGCACTTGCCATTGATGTTTTTGAGGTTCGTCCACGTGGTAGCATGAATCAGTACTTCATTCCTTTTTATGGCTGAAGAATCTTTCATTGTGCGGATGGACATCCACAAAATCATCTTGTAAGTGGCTTTTCAGATGAGGAAACCTAGGCTGCCCAGGGAGGGGGTAGTCACCGCCCAAATCTGGGAGCACTGGGGTTCAGTAAAGGAGAGGAAGAGGTAAAAACACAGCTGGACGTTTCTAGCTCCTTCTCTCTCATCCCCCAGCCCCCACCCTGCTCCCAACCTTTTTTTTAAACTTAATTAATTAATTAAATTTTGGCTGCGTTGGGTCTTGGTTGCTGCGCGCGGGCTTTCTCTAGTTGCGGTGAGCGGGGGCTACTCTTTGTTGCGGTGCGTGGGCTTCACAGGCTCTAGGCGCGTGGGCCTCAGTAGTTGCAGCACGCGGGCTCAGTAGTTGTGGCTCACGGGCTCTAGAGCGCAGGCTCAGTAGTTGTGGCGCACGGGCTTAGTTGCTCCGGAGCATGTGGAATCTTCCCAGACCAGGGCTTGAACCTGTGTCCTCTGCATTGGCAGGCGGATTCTTAACCACTGCGCCACCAGGGAAGTCCCCCTACTTCCAACCTTATCTCGGAGCCTGGCCGGGTCAGGAGGCAGCCACGTGGGGAGGGAGTGAGTGGGGATCCCTTCCACCTGGAGCTGGATGCTGAGTAGGAGCTGTGACTGTGGGTCTCCTCTGGTCCCTTGAGCGCCCCCAGAGATGTAGTTTCTCTTAACCCTGACAGAGACAGCAGGCAGGTGTGCCCCATTTCAGAGCTGAGCAGACTGATGTCTGCAGAGGCTGGGGGTCTTACCCAGGGCCACTTGGTCTAGGGACCCCTCCTGCCTCTTTTTGGGGACCCCATGCTTCTGTGGCCCCCATCACAGTGTATCCTGTAACGTCTTCACTTATCTTTTCCACCGTCCAAAGCTTTGCCCGAAGACAGGTTCCTAGAAGTACACGTTGGTGAATCTTGGTTTTTTTCAGAGCACCGAGGGATGCTCACCCTCAGAGGCTTGGGGGATGAGGCCTTCTTTTGCTAAGCAGACGACCACACACTAACTTATTCTGAATGTAAACTTGGTTTTGGTGACTGGCTCTGCCTAGAGTGGGCTGCCAGGGGCTGTTTCTGGTTTGTGATGGTTTGCCATCTTCATAGAGTCACTCAGCAAACCATTTGCTACCCAGCTTCTTGGAGGAGAGAGACACAAAAAGTGACCCCGGAATGACACAGCCCAGCGTCAAACCTGCCCAAAGCATAAATAGCTCTGGTGGGGTTGTGGATGTGTTACTCCTGATTCCAGGGCCAGCCCCTGAGAAAGTCTGGGTGCAGGTCTGTGTCAAAAGAAACAGAAAAGAACAAAAGGAACCCGTGTGTTCTGAGCCTGCTGCTTTGGGCCCCGCCGCCTGCCCGTGTTTTGGTGGGGCCGGTTTGGCCCGTTCCTGAGCTTCATGGCCTCCTGGCAGTCAGGGTGAAAGTAGATGGGCGGGATCTTTGGTCTAAAAATATAGCTTTTGGTCGCTCACGTCTTTCTGTGCCTTGTTTTCCCCACCTATAAAAGAAGGCAGATCTGTAGAATTCTTCCACAATACTCTGGGAGAGGCTGGAGGATGAGCTGATGAAAGTCAGCACACATGTGGCCTCCACGGGGGCCTCTTCACAGGTCACCTAGTGGCCATTCCAGTCCCCCGGCCAGTTCAGTGGCCAAGGACCTTTGTCACATACAAATGTGATCTGCCCCAGACACTCTATGAATCCCTGCTGACTATACCCAATGGCAGGGTTGACGCAAGCCAGATTTGCCTGGTTCAAACCTCAGCTCAGCCACTTTCCAGCTGTGTGACCTTGGGCAAGCCACTTGACCTCTCTGAGCCTGTTTCCTTCTTTGTATATTGGGTGCCCCTGCCTTTTGTTGTGCTGTCCTGAGGACAGATGGGTTAACATGTGAAGTGCTTACACAGCGCTGGACACACAGTACGTGTTACCGTTAACTGTCGTTGTCATTATTATTCTGGGGAGGGTCTCCAGTCCACGGAGTTCCATGATTTGCCCAGAGTTCTCGTGCTGTTCCTCCCCCACTCCTCTCCCATCGCTCCCTGACCTTGACTTCTAATGCTCTCCCCGCTTCACTACTGCACTCGGCCACACCATTTTTCTCTGCGCTTTTGCAACACACCGAACTCCATCCGGCCTCCAGACCTTTGCAGTTGCTGTGCCTTCCGCCTGTGCTGCCCGTCCCCGCCTCTGTATCCCGTGGGACCCCTCAGCATCGCTCAGGATGTCATCTCAGGCAGACAGCATTGGGCCCAACTCCTGGTTGCTGGGGGCAGGGGAGCGAGCCTGGAGATCCCTCTGGAGCTTCCCCTGACACCTCACCGCTGGTGCTCGGAGCGCTGGGGCAGCAGAGCAGAGCCTGCCCGGCTGCAGATGGGAAACTGACACCCAGAGAAGCTCAGACCTGTCCCTGAGTCACACAGCCAGTTGCAGCCAAAGTTCAGACCCCTGGCTGACCACCAAGCTGTCCATTTTGGACTGTGTGCATGCGTGCGTGCGTGTGTGTGTGTTTGTGGCTGTCTTTTTTTACCCTCTGGGCCTGTCACTGTTACAACCCTGGTTCAGAATACCAATGTGAGGGGGTCATGTTTGCTTTTCCTGAGATGACAAGGGCAGAAATATATTAAAGACAGAGCCTGCCCGGTGGCCATGTCACCCTGGAGACTGGAGGGCCGGGAAGGGACAGGGGCAGCGGCTTGGGTACACGCCGGGTCCGGGCTGGGCCGGCCATGCTGCCCTCTGGGTGGACGGTCCGGCTGGGAGGAGACGGGTTAAGGAGGAGACGCTGGCCTGGAGCTCGCTTTCGCCTGCGAGCGGTGAACAGTGAGGTTTTTCTACGGAGCTATAAAAAGGCCTCCCCGTGTTTCAGCTCCCGGAGTGTCGGCTGGAAGCCCGCCAGGGTTACCATGGCGATGAGGAATTATTACTTACTGCCAAGGCTAGGAGAAAAAGCTCGTACTTTTGGCTTCCCAACGAGAGGAGTGGACTTATGTAATTCCCTGTGTTTATAGGCCCGGAGGGGCAGGAGGCAAGCAGGGATCCTGGGGCCCAACGCTGCGCTTTCACCCTGCTGTGGGTCGGGTGGTCCCGTGGGTGGTCCCTGGGGGACCTCTGCCCACCTCGTCTAAGGGGGGCATCGGGCCGGGGGCCTGGGGGGCCGGGCCGGCTGCAGGGCCCCCCCCGGCCGGGGCGGGAGCCCGCAGTCTCGCGGGAAGGCGGCACGGCTGCTCGGCGGGGCCGCCCCTCTCCCGGGTCAGCCCTGGAGGAAGGATGGGTTTGAGGTTGGACGCGGCGTGTCCTCTGGAAGCCAGCAGAACAATGTGTGTGTGTGGACTCCGCTGACCCACTTGCTGGCACCTTCTACTTCTCTTTCTTTTTCTTTTCTTTTTGTTTTTTCTGTTTTTGTGGGAGAGTTCCTTCAAGTTGTGTTTGGAGCTGACGTGAGCGAGAGGCCGGTCATGTGCTCGGGTAAGAGAAGTTTCCGGGCTTGGCAGTGGGCAGGGAGATGCGGTGTGACCCGGCCGCCCGGCGGGGGGAGAGGGGGCAGATATTGGGGGCCACAGATCGCAGGAGGACCGGGACCTGCGCCGGAGACCCCATTTGGTGGCCGACGGGCTTGTGCTCTGACGCCCCAGTTCTGCCCCGGCAGGTGGGCGATGGCTGGGGCACAGTGGTCCCTGACGCCTTATCAGAGTTGCTGAAGCCCCAGAAAGGGTGCTGGGCAGGCAGCGGGCCCGGGAGGATGGGAGTGATGCGTGGGGGGCACAGTGCTGCTTTCCTGGAACCCCCGTACTGTGCGCGTCCCTGCGGGGGAGCGGGCAGGGCCAGGGATGTGGTGCTCCTGGCGTCTGTTCATCGGTGTTGGCCCCGGGAGGTGGGTTGGGGGCCTGGGGATTTGGGGGGCCGGTGCCTCAGTGGCCATGGAGCAAGGGGGGGGCCAGGTGCAGGCAGCGCTGTGGCTGCCCCGGCGCTCGGCTCCCACCGCGGTGGCTCTTGGCTGGGCGCCCGTGTCTGGTTTGAAATCAGCGCCACTGGCCCAGGCTTGCCCAGGGACCTGGCAGCGAGGAGCTGGGATAAACACTGGAAAGTTGGAAGGGCTTCCCGAGCTCACAAGGAGCCCTTAGTTGCAAGCGGAGGGGATGAGGGAGTGATTTGTCCTGAGGTCTGGGTGCGCCGGGGCCGTTGGGAGGCAGCGGGACGTCTCATGGGGCGTGTGAGCACAGGCCGGGGAGGGCTGGGTTCCCAGACGGCGTGGCTTGGTTGCCACGGACCTGGGTTTGAATCCTGGTTCTGTCCCTTTGTACATTGGGCCTCCCCTGTGCGAACCTCAGTTTCCTTGCCTGTCAAATGGGGCAGTAATAGGGGCCACACAGGCGTGAGGATGAGGTGGGGGGAGGGATGCAGGCTCCTGGTTCGCTCTGTGGCCAGACTGCCTGGGTTCACATCCCGGCTGTGTGACCTTGAACAAGTCACTTCACAGCTCTGAGCCTCGGTTTCCCCATCTGGCAAATGGATACTTCATCTGTCTCCACCCCTAAGTTGTTGAATGGCGTTAAGGGGGCTAATGAATGGTCCCTGCTCCACCCCTCACAGACAGGGTGACCTTGGACAGGTCGTGGAGCCCCATGGAGCCTCAGTTCTCCTGTCCATTCAGGGAGAGCAGCCCACACATTGCCTTGGAGAAAGCCGAGACACACCCGCAGGGGCCTCAAGTGGGCAGGTGTGGGGAGGCTCCGTCAGTGTAGACCACAAGCTTGCATTAAGTTAGTTACATCTTGGTCTCCATCGGTTTTTCTTTTCTTCCCTGTTGAGAGCCCTCCTATTTTATAGAAGTGAAACTCCAGCGACGTGAGAAGGGTCCCTCCCCAGCCCCAGCCTCGATCTGCATTTGGACCTGGGCTGCGGTCCCTGGGGCTTCCCCATTGCGTGCCTATTTCTGCCCTGTCCCTCACCAAGCCTGGGCCAGGCACCCTGACGGCGCCTGGCGTGGCTGGGGGCCGGGTGCACAGGGCTGGCTCTCCCGCCAAGGGTGGCAACTGTCCTGTGTTTGTAAGTGACACCGGATGCTGGGCCAGCGGCTGGCTCGGGGCCTCTCCTCTGAGGCCAGCAGGAACCAGTGGGGAATTCCCTGGTGTCCAGGCTGCCTACTCCAACTGCCCGCTGTCCCACTCCTCTCCTGGGGACCGTCCTCAGGCCTCTCCTGGGGCCTCGGGAAAGGCCTGTGCAGCCGAGGATCCCACGAGTGTCCCTCTGCTGCCCCCAAGCCCTCAGTGCCCACCTGGGTCAGCCACAGAGCTATGTTGTTGCCACCACTACCCTGCCCTGAGGGTCTTGGGGACTCGATCCCCCATCCACAGAGAAAGACAGTCACATGTGGTGGCTCAGACCAGAGGTCGCAGAGGAGACCCTTGCGGTGGAACTGTCCTGCATCGTTGGTGGTGGCCACACGAATCTACACTGAGATAATAGTGCATAGATCTACACACACACACACACACACACACACACACACACACACGTGAGCACACATAAACCCCCGAGATCTGAATAAGGCCAGTTGCATCAATGTCAGTTTCCTGGTTGCAGCTATTATAAGGATGATACCATTGGGGGGAGCTGGCTAAAGGGTCCACGGGATCCAGCTGTATTATTTCTTACAGCTGCTGTGAATCTACAGTGATCTAAAAAGAAAGAGAGCACAGGCTCTGGGGCCTGGCTGTCCTGGGTTTGATCCCAGTGTGCTCCTTTGTAGCTGTGTGAATTACAGCACGTGGCTTAACCCTGCAGTGCCTCAGTATTCCTCATCTGTAAAAGGGGGGTAGTGTTTGGTACCTCACAGGGTTGGCACGAAGATTAGATGTGTTGGTTCATGCCAAGTGCCTAGGAAGGTGCTGGCACGTGCTGAGGGGGAGGGGTGCTGTCATTGGTACTATTATAACCCTGATGTGATGGCTGTAGTTTGCCCCACACTATCTCATTTCATACCGGAATCAGCCACGGGAAGGGAGCGTGCTGTATGAGCCCCACTTCTCAGAGAATAACACTGAGGCTCGGGTCAGGTGACCCACCCAAGGGCACACAGTTTGTAAGGGCCGGAGCTGGGACTCAAACCCCAAGCCAGAGCCTGTGTGTGGAGGTTCTTGCGCTGGGTGACCCTGGGGAGGTTGTTTGCCCTCTCTGAGCCTCGGTCCCCTCCTTCTTCTCTCCCCACTTGTCAGCTGGACAGGGTGCTGGGCTCATGACCTGTGAAAGCCAGAAAGCCTAGACTCTGGGCCCCTTCCCTCACTTCCTGGGCCCACCCAGAGCTCACACGTCTCAGTCACCTCCTCTGAGGCCTGTCTTTGCAGCCCCAAGGTGGGACTTGTTCTCAGCTCTGTCTGTGGGCTCACTCCTGGGGTGGCTGACCTCGCCTTTACTCTGAGCACTTTGACCTCCTTGCTCTGTCCTGTGGGTGCAGCCGTACCTTCTGCTGTTCCCTGTGGTAGGTACTGGTTTCCCTCGGACTCCTTCCTGCCTCTAGCAGTGGTGAGAAGGCCTTTGGGGTGTAACCAGCTAACCCTAGAGTGAGCTGGGTTATCTCTGTTGGCACTCAGCGTGAGAAGAGCATTTCTGTCCGGCCGAAGCTGATCCGAGGGTAGACGCTTCTCCAGGGGCTCCTGGGAGAGGGTCAGCAGATGGTTGTGCCCCTTATAGCCGGCTGGTAACTGAGCGTGGGCCCTTGGGCATCTCAAGAGGTCCAGGAAGGTCCAGGAAGGGGTTGCCTCAGGATTCTGGAGGCTTTCAGAGCATCCCAAGCTGGAGACACGTGGGTGTCTGTAGGACCCGGGGCGGGGGTCTGAGCTGCTGAGAGGGGTTCCACCGTCATGTTGGAGTGATGGAGGCTTGTGTTGGCAGGGAGGACGTCAGTCACAGCTGAGCGTCTCAGGTTCTGGCTTTGCTGGGCAGAGCCTGGAGGGGCAGGGAGTTGGGTGGGGGATTAGGGGCGTTCCAGCCCCACGAGCCTCTTTGCTGTTTCTTAGAAGCCCCGATCATGGTCCTGCCTCAGGACCTTTGTACTTGCTGTGCTCTTCTTGAGACGCCGTTCTATGAGATCTTCACAGCTTCCTCTCATTGAGCCTCTGCTCACATGTCACCTCCTGAGAGAGGCCTCCATCATCACTCCTGCCACCTTGCCACTGTCATCACCTGGGATTTACATATGTCCATCAGCCGTGTCCCCCCAAACCCTCCAGGTGGGATTTTGTTCATCTTGGTAACCGCTGTGTCCCTGGCACTGGGTACATAGTAGGTGCTTAGCAAACAGTTGTTCCTGACTCAGTGTCCCCCACAAGCTGTGGACCTGGGCCTGTCCCCTCGAGGTGAATGGGGACAGATATGCACACCTGCGAGGGCTCCGGCTAGGGAGACCCAGGCCCCTCGAGCTGGAATTCATGGTGAGCTCACCTCCCTGCACCCCAGACGTTCTGCTCCCAGGGGTTGAGAATGCATTTGGGGGCATTCTTGGAAAACTAGAGTCCTTGGAAAAGCAGTAATTGTATGTTTGCTCAGGAATGCCCTGTAGGAACCCGCCAAGCATGCCCAGAAAGTCTGCACCTCCTAGGTAGTCAGAGAGGTGGGGCTGGTGAGCAAGGAAAGTGGTGGTGGTGGGGGGCCCTGAGGGGTCCAGGGTGCAGGGGAGGGGTGCTGACCAGGTGGGGCGGGCATTCTGCACAGCTCAGCATATTGAGTCCTTCCAATGCCCCTGTGATGGGGGCCCTGAATCACCCTTTCCAGATGAGGCACAGAGAGGGTAAGCAGCTTGCCCAAAGACACACAGCCGCAGGCACTCAGTACTCAGAGGCGTAATAGGTAGTGGTGCATGTACACACTGCTGTATTTAAAATAGATAACCCACAGGGACCTACTGTATAGCACAGGGAACCCTGCTCAATACTCTGTAATAACCTAATTGGGAAAAGAATTTGAAAAAGAACAGATACATGTATATGTGTAACTGAATCACTTTGCTGTACACCTGAAACTAACACAACATTGTTAATCAACTCTACTCCAGTATAAAATAAAAAGTTAAAGAAAATAGGTAGTGGCGTTTCCTGTGCAGTCATTCCTGTGCACAGGGCGCCACTCAGCTCTTTGAGATGATTTTATTTCACCCTCAGAGTCCCTTTGGCCATCCCTGTCTCACAGGACAGTGGCACAGCTGTAGAGAAGGCAGGATTGGAACCCAGGTTCTGTTGGGGCCCCTCCTCAGAGCAGGTGCTATTTTCCAGGGATCTGGCTCAGACCTGGGAAAGGGCCCACTTCCCAGTCTGCCTCCGAGGCCTGGAGATGTCCGAACTCTTTAGGAAGGCTGGGAGTCGGTTTCTCAGCGCAGCTCTGAAGCTGGAAGGCAGGAGGGGCTGCCTCCTACCCCCCCAGTCGCGGATTTACATGACAATGAGCCCTTTGTGCCTGGGTCCTGCCTTCTT